TATTTTAGCCGAACCACGTTAAAATTCTTGTGTCGTTTATTTTTCTCTCCTTCATTCTTTCCTTTATTATTGTCTTGTTCCTAACAGATGCAACATGGGAGTTAGAGAGCAAAATGAGGGAATCTCACCCTCATCTTTTCCCATAAGGTAAGCAAATTTCGAGGACGAAATTTTTTTAAGTGGGGAGAATTGTAACATCCTAATTCTTAATACCTTTAAAAATTTTGTCAAAATTTTAATAATTAAATTATTAAGAATTGGGGAAAGTGACTATAGAGTTTTATGTTGGTTAGATTATTTGTGATTTTCTAGAAATTTTCTGGAATTAAAAATAAAAATAAAATAAAAAATAATAATAAAATAATAATAAAATAATAATATATATATCTTAAAATTTAGATTTTGACTTTGAAACAGACACTCACTCTGCAACTTCCCGTGACTTCTACCTTTCTCTCATTTCTCGCTTTCTCTCAAACCTTCCTCACTTTGAAGTTTGATTTTGAGGGGGAAATATTGATTTTCTTGAGAAACTCCAAGAGGTAAGTTGGTTTATCTCAATCTACTCTACATTTCTACCGTTTTATTTTTCAAAACGGTGCATTTTCAATTTTTTCTCACTTGGTTAAGCTTGAATGGGAGTAAAAAGAGTGTTATTGTAGGTTTTACACCTAAGACACTAGAATAATACTTAGAATTGAGGATTAGAAGTGATTAAGCTAAAAACCTTAAGCACCCTAATTCGTAAGTCACTGTTCATTAAATTTTGGGATGTTTGTGAACAGAATTAGGAATTAGTATCTTCATAAAAGTTGTAGCCCTTTAAGTTATAGAAATTTAGAAACTTGTTTCACATCAAACGGATATTTGTAGCTCAAGTTATGTTCATTTTACTGTCAAGTGCTATAGCTGTGAAGTTAAGAGGTTGCCCTGTTTCAACAGCCTCGGTTTTTGAATTACTGGGATTGATACGTGTGAAATTAGGACTTGATTTCTTCATAAAAGTTGTAGGAAATTATATTTCCGAAATTTAGAAATTTATTTCATGTCAATACCTTATGTATAGCATGAGTTATAGTCAAATTACCAAGGCATGTTCAGAGTGTTATTGTAGTTGAGCCATGTTGGAAACAACCACTGTAAACTGAAAAACTGCATTTATTCTACAAGGTATTTGAATTTATTTTCTTCATAAATATTGTAGGTAATTAAGTTATTGAAATTTTGGCTCTTACCTCATGCCAAAACAGTTTATATAACTCTAGAAAATTCTGAAATACTGAACCTTGTCCATATTTGTTATTAGGATTCTTCCTACTCTAAGTGTATTACTTCCATTACTCTCTTCTACTTGTATTAATTTCATTAGCATCAATTTAGGCCCTAGAAATGATTTTATAACTCAAAGAACCATAGTCTTGAATTTTAGAATTTTAGGCTATGAAGGAGGTGAGATTTTAGAGGTCTAATATGGTTGGAATTAAGGATTTAATTGGGGTATTTAATTGGCATGTAGGAGACTACTTAGAGGTGCAAAGGGGAGACCCAAAGACTTGATAGATTATTTGATCAAGAGTTACTCTTCACCAAGTTACAACATAAGGTAAGGGGTAGGATAACTTTTATAATTCATTTTTGCTTGAAATAACATTGAGAAGAAGTCCCTTACTTCTAAGTTAATTAGAAATTTATTTGGAATTATTTGAATATCATTTCTATTTTTGATGAATTTTTAAAGTTTTAAGATTATGTGAAATTTATGGCTTCTAAATGGAGCAACTTGAGTGTATGGAACCTTGTATGATTATAAGGCATCCATGAATGTTGTTTGAATCGATTGCTTAATCATTAGTAATTTTATATGATTTATTGATGAATTTAGATTGAGAATTAGCCTATTTCTATGTTTAGTATTCGATAATTGTTTTAAATTGATTATTGAGATATATTGTATGTATGTTATGAAGCATGATAAGTAGAAAATTATTGTGCAATGTTTTTGTTAAGATGGATTAGCATATAGAATTGCATTGTATAATTTGGTGGAATGGAGGAAAGGTGTGAGAAATGAACTATGTGAGAAAGAAAACTATTTTTTTTATATATTAAATTGAATTTTATAATTTAATTATGAAGTGAATTTTTATATTTTTATTTAATTAATAAATATTTTTCAAAAGTATTGGAATAATTTTGATCTAGGAGAAAACAAGTAATTGTAAGTGAAAATGAATTTTTAATAATTTTGAGGAAATTATTTGCAATTATTACTATTATTTAAGAAAAATAAATTAAAATTGAGAAAATTATGATTTTGAGTGATGATGAATATGATGAGGTGGAAGGATGGTTTGGTGAAAAGTAGAAGTGTTCTGGGTCTGTATTTGGTTATTTTACGGGTGTTAAAAATTTTGGGAATGTCCGATTTACGGGAAACTACGTCGATTTTTCTTAAGAAATAACCTAGTATTATTTTGAAGAAGTTAAGATGTGATTTAAGTATAATGAGGTGAAATAAATTTGAAAGAGTGTGAAGAAGTTATGATAAGTCATGCATCATGTTCATGAGTCGGAGATTGAGTGTATGAGGAGGATATGGAAAATCGGGGTCGGTTCCATGCTAACCTCGGGGATGATTGAGTGTGATCGAGCTCATATGTGGCTCGGACTCGCTACCTAAGCTGTGAGACTCTCACTACCAAGCTTGATTATCCCGACTAAAGCCCCGGGGTTTCTCATGATCGGTTGAGCTGGACAAGTAATTATGAGTATACTACCGCAAGGCGGTGAGAGGTTCCGATGAAACTCCCGATCCTTCTCGAAAAGAAAAAAAAGAAAATAAAAGATAAAGTGGTTTTGGGATCCCCATGGTCTTGCATACTAGGATGTGTCCTAGAAAAGATTAGTGAATACATTGCATTCATAATATCATATCATTTGTGTGCTGATTAATAGTATGTTTGTATATGTAATTTCTAATTAACCCAATGTTATTTGCATGCTCTAAGTGAATATAAAGTTGTCTTACCCTTTCGTGCATGTATTGTTATTATGAAATGTTTGCATAGGTGACGTTGAACACAACTCATCCCCGGTATCATCTCCAAGTAAAATTTAAATACGATCATCTGCAAGTACTAAGTAGAGGACTTGATCGGACACCACTACTGATGCTACAAGAGATACTTCATTTTAGTGGACGTACAAAATAGATCTTCTCTTTAGTTAGGTTGTATAGTTAGTTTGTCTAGTTAGTTTGTCTGCTCTGGTCTTGTGAACCCTTGTTAGGTGTATTTTGGGATGACTTTGTGTATATTTATTATCTAGTTATACTTGATACTTATGAATGATATGTATATTAATCACTAAGTGTATGTTCTAATTATTGTGTATGTTCACAATGTCAGGTCTCGATAATTAACGTGAGTTTACATCGAACTAAAAGGTGCTATGTAAATTTATGTCTCCCATTTTAACTTTACTTTAGTCTTAAATACGACGTAAAAAATCTAAAATACCTGACATAAAAACTCTTTTTGCTGGTGAACATTTTTTTTCTTTTCCTCAGTTCTTTATAATTAGTAACTTAGATTTGTTTGTTATTTTATCAAATTATGTTTTTTATTTCTTGCTTTTAAACCTTGTCTTGCTTTTATTTTATCACAAAAAATATTGTTGTCGTTTTTTTTGTCCATATTTTGAAAATTATTTTATTATTCATTATAGAAATGTTTTGAAACGAAATCAAAGAAAATAAAATCATGTTAGTAATTATTTGAAAGAATAATGAGTTATCAAACTAAAAAAACTTTATTTCTGTTACCTTTATACATGTTTAGAAATTCACTACAGCTGGTTACAAACACAGTGTATTCCTCATATCATTAAGGAATTGTAATTTCTTGAACGAGGTTGTAAGTACATGGTTTCGTGTTTTGAAAATGGAATCGGAATGGAAGGTTTAATAGGTGAAATCGAAAATTAATTTAGAAATCGATACGTTGACTTTAAATAATCAGATTTTATTAAACTGACACAAAAAAAAAAATTGGAAGGAAATCAATAAAATTAAAAAAATCAGCTGAATAGAAAAAAAAAACATTTATGATAAATTTTTTAACATAATTTTTTATAAAAATATAATATATTTTAGTTTTTTTATTTTATATTAATTATGTCAATTTTAAATAATAAATATTTTATAATATTTTTATTTTATTTTAATAATTATTCTTCTTGTATTTTTATATTTTTTATATTTATAATTTTTATTATAATTTATGGTAATTAAACTTTATTATTTTTCTTTACTTTTATAAAAAATATTATTACTAATAAATTTATGATATATTAATTATATTATAAAAATAATATTTTATTAAATTTGATTAAATCTCGATCAAATCTTTAAATTTGAACAGATATTTTTACTAATTAAGTGATTGATTTAATTTTAAAACAATTTTCTTAGTATTTTTTTATATATAAAAAAATTTAAATATGCATTACTACAAATTTTTAAAATATAAATACAAATGAGGTAACCAGTTATTTATTTTAATAATCCTGTATCCAATTTTGCTATCTACTTCTAAAATAATTATTTTTTTAGTAAAAGAAAACTTCCAGTTTTCTTTCTTTTTTAGTCAAATTTAATTTTGGTTCTGTTTAATTTCGATCTCCGGTCTTTCTACTTTTAACGAGATTCTAATTTCAAGATTAAAAAACAAGATTGTAATTTTGATCCCATCCTCAATTTTAGAATACGACTTTATTTTAGTTCAATTAAAACTCAAGATGTAAAATTATTGAATCAGAATTTTAGATATTTTAAGAAGTGTAGAGACTAAAATTGTAAAATAAATAAATAAATTAAGAATAATAATTAAAGGGATTAAAATTGTAATAGTTTATTTCTTTTTTAAGAATGCAGCCCATCTACCTTCGGCAACAGCAAGTAGTTAAAACAATGTTTTTTTCTTTCATATTTTTTGTAAAAGACCAATAGCAACGGCCCAATTTTTCTTGGGCTTCGTAAAATTACCTAGGGCCCACCATATAGGGAACTGGGGTACCGTTTCGGACTGGACCCACGCCAGAGCCCATGTGAGCATCCAACTAAAGTAAGAAAAATGAGAAGTTTAAGTCCAAAACTCTTACAATTTTTTTTTCCTGTAGGCATGTGATATTTGGCACAACCAACCGAAAAAGAAAACAACAATTCATGTGTAAATTGGAATAAAATCTTTCAAAAGATGGTCCAGTTATTTGACATAACTTCATTTTTTATGATACAGAAGATAGAAAAAAGAGAGAGACCAAGCAGAGAACAAAAGTTATATAATTTTAGTAGTTTTATAAATTTGAATCAGACTTCAATTCATCTTTTAAATTGTATTAGAGTTATTCACATCTCAAGTTGTATAGTGTTGGATATTAGTTAAAAATCTTATATAATTAAATCATAATATATAATATATAAAAGATTATAGTTCAGAGAGACTGAAATTGGCTTAAAAGTCACATTTGGCTTTACGGGAGCACAATGTCATGTTTACACGTTTCCTGTAGCTTGAAACTGCACGTGATGTGTTTTGTGGGGACCTCAAATGTGAAAAATGGCTAATAAAGTCACAATTTTACGTAAAACTAACCCCCAAGGCTTCTTGACATTGTTGCACAGTTACATAATTCATCACCAAATTGAATATGAATGTCTCTGTACACTGTCAGCAAATTGGTACTGTCGTACTAGAAAAAAAATGGCTTGTCTCTTGTCTCAACCCTGACACAGAGTTTTCCTTCTTGGTTTTCTTTGGTCCCCTAGAGTTATCAGTCTAAATCCATTGTATGTAAGTACAAGCTTATTAATGTCAATGGGGAACTCAAACATGTTCCTATCAGCCGGGATTTTCTTGAATGTAAAGTTTATAAGCAACATGAATGTTGCCAAAACAAGCTATCATTAGTGACAATTGATGTTTCCTAGGCCATTCCAATTAATATTGTAACATGAGGTTGTTCTAGTTTTGCTCTTCTTTAACCTTCTTGGTTTTGTATGATTAAGTAAAGGGGTTTATGTTATGAAATCCACGATCATTAATCAATCCAGAAGGGACACATATTCTCTTACAACCACTTTCATATCAATCATTATGCCATAGAATTAGACTATATAATCACAGATTACTTCAGAACTAGATGCATAATATAAGTGGGTTTCTAAAATCAACTCTTGAAGATAATGCTCCCATTGCCATCGATTCTATGATTGTTATCTATGTCAACGTTTGTTCACAATGAATAGGACCAAAAACCAAGAGCATCCATCAGCTGAATAAAAGATCGTATCAACATGTTATGCAGTTTTAACTAACGTTTGTCCTTGCTGCGTCAATATATTTTTTTTGGACTATAATAGGACAAATTGAAATGTATTCATACATTACCGAATATTTGTTAGGCCAGATTCTAGCCTCAACAGAAGACAAAGATTAGGATTTGAATGGCAGTTTTTCATGTGCATACATGAAACTAATGTGAAACATTTTGTTGCATCCGTGATGTAAGTTTTGAATGGTTAGATCTGTTAATAGTTTGTCAGAAATGTTGATCAAGGATCAATAATTTTATACTGATAAAAGTTAATCATATTCAGAAATAGCAATTCAAACAAATTAATACTTCATCGTGAACCTTACGTACAAGCTAAACATTTAATGAATTAATAATTTTAACAGAATATATGGCTTAAGTCAATAAATACATAACTTTCATACTGAGTTTTTTTGGGAGGCGTAGTTGTAGAGCCCCAACACAACAAAAGCATATGGCATGCTTCTAGAGGGCTGCTTGTTTGCTAAGGTTGTATTTCACTACTCACCATAACATACCATGTGAAGCCATTTATAAATGCTCCATGATGCAAACCTGATGTTGGTAATTAATGCTTCATTGCAGAAAAAGAGGTTAACAGATCCTTGTCCATTTTCCGTTTTCTGGTTCAGGGTAGGTAGACTGAACTTTTAGTAACAATCATTTGTAAGTGAGACATGTTTCCTCATACTCACTATTGGTGTTTGTACGGTTTGCATGCGAGTGGAATATGCAGCTTGAGAGAAAATCTTGGAGTTGTAAGTTAGAAATAACACTCCAATTGAGTGGATATAAAGTAACTAAGAGGACACTTATTTTGAAGTAAGAGAATTTTATAGTTTCTTCAGTGTTTTAAGGTTAAGGGTTATCCATTTAACAAGAAAGTGGCTTACGGTCATAGAGAATTGTGAACCGTGGCCATTATTTGCTCAACTTTATGTATCATAGCTAAATAATGACATATAAGAACATTGAGAACTAGAAAAATGATTTCATGCGAATAGTTTCTGATTTATGAGCTTCAGGGCCTGCCGCAAACTTTGAAATACACAAAATTAAAAGCTTTTTTTGATTGTTAACAATCACGATCAAAGCACAAGACAGTGACATTGTTGCTTCAGGAAGACTTAGCCAGATGCCTCCAAATCCATTATTGTAATACTGCAGAAGCCAACAAATTTCTTTTCTCGGAAAAGCAATGCACAATTTTCAATTGGTTCAAGAGATTAATACGCTTATGGAATTCTGCGCCGTTCCGAAGTTTTACGTCGTTGAAGTGTTCATTATCCATGCAACTTCAATAATATTTAACAGTTTTTCAATTGGAGTTATCCTTTGGTCCAATCATTCAGCTAAGATACCATGATATAGGATGGGCCTAAACGTCACATAACATAGTATATTCAACAATATGTAGCAGTCCTAGGAACATGCACCACATATACCTTTTGTTTCTCCTTCTTATGCATTGTGATTGGTAGCGTGTATTTTATTCCTAAATCAATGATAATGTCCATAAACTAAGCAGTCTTTTGGCGAGGAAAATTAAGGAAAATAATTCAAAAGTTTCACGTTTATTTCCGAGATGTTATTGGAAACACAATTTGTCCAATAACTAAGCAGACAGAAGAATGGTGAATAAACCAGTGGGATTCAACCAAACCATCCAAAAATAAGCTTAAGTTATAATATGTATGGCACGCTCAATTTACCTTTTAAGTATGTCAGCCAAAAGAAAAAATTGTGAGTATAATCTAAGCTTGTCGAATCGAATTTGTAAACTGAACATGCCTTCATTAACTAGGTTGTGATTTAAAATTACTTAAGCTCTGCATTTTAAGAATCTTATTCTTTGGTTACATGCAATGCAATTTGGCACGATGCTGTTGATAAAAAATGAAGCAACTTACTCAAGGTTGTTAGATAAAATATACGACTTTAACTTTCATACTTATTAATGTAATAAGTTTACACTATCGAGTTTGAAATATTTTGACAGTAAACGTTACTTGTTCCCCATTTCAAGAACATGGTTTCTGCATATCATGTAATTCCCACTATTCTTATATGCATGGCTCAAGAAAGGAGGGAAAACTTATTGGTAGAAACTAGTTATTTATTGATTGTATATGTTGCAGCACGCTGTTAAGGAACATCTTTCCTTATTTTAGAGGGAGAATTTCACATATATAGATGAGAAAGCAAAAAGCCTTTGAGAAAGAGAACAAATTCAAGCCATCAAATTGTATTCAACATGCTAATTGGAAGAGAAGTTGTTCAAAAGATGTGATCGTGATTTGTGGGATTTGGTTCTGGTTGCTGCAGACAAAAATATGGCAAATAAAAACATAACAATCTTTTGCCATTATTTTTTCTAAATGCAATTAACTTGCCCAGTGACATGACAAGGAGATTGGATTACATCAAACTTTACTCAGGGTGGTGAAACACTTTTGTTGAATGACACATTACCATGTGTAGTGTAGACCTTGTCCAAGAGTTTAGGAATATTAGTGGACTTTCTAGCAGTGTGTTTGTCTAAATACTTTGACCCTTAAAACTCGTGGCCCTCTTGTATTCTTTTTTATTTGTGTGTAACCCACTAATATGCAGAAATGGTACTCTTGTTCAATGAATTTGACAGTGCATATTAGTCAAAGGAGGATCACAATTTCTGAAATATCTTCTATGTTAGATTTTGCATTCTTCCCTTAAAAGTTGATTTAACTCAGATCGTCAAATGTCACACACTTGGAAATATCCTTGGTAGATGTTTCATTCTTCCCTAAAAACTGAAAAACTTATCGACTCTAGGCTAAGATGAAAACTCATTTCCTGTAAATATTTATGAGCAAGTAAGGAACCATGCAGTAAGGAGACAATAACTTTGTTCTTTTAAGATCAATTGGAAATGTCAGATGAAACAAAAATTGTCTCTTATTCAGTACATTTATGCTTCAGCCAATTCATGGGATTTATACATGCCCAAGTCTAATATGTGGCATATTCCTTGTAATTCTGAAGAAATCTTTTAAACCAGGAATTAACTCAAAAAACTATCAACATTGCTTGAGAATCCTAGCATGTTTTTAGGCAGCTTCTCACTGTTTTATGGTTGTGTTTTACCAAAATTTTGTCAAAAGGATGAGACAGTTACCAATATGCATCACAACAAGTGACAAAAGAATATGAAAACGGTTATTGTATAACCCTCGGGTTCATTTTAGAAAGGATAGGACTTAAATATCAACCATGTGAGAAGATATGCTTCCATTACTTTTAACCTCTGGGCATTGTGTAATTGACTGAGTAGAATTTGAATCAAGCAAACAACAAAATCTTATGTTGAGATTGCAAGGAAAATACTGGAGTGGACAAGAAGTAAGAGGAAATATCATTATTTTTTGTTTGGAAAAACTTTCAAAATGGTTGAATAACAAAAAGAGTATCAATTTCTACATCGATTCTGCATTTTTGTGGGGACGTGAAACAAGAGGTCTTCTCCATGGCTATTTGGCCAAAATCATTTATTGAATGTAGGCTAAGACTAGTAACAAAATACCAAGGAGTTAATGAACACATTCATTCATAACACTTTAAAGTCTGCCAAAAACTACAGAAACATTAAAATTGTTTATTTATCAGCCAAGACTTCAATTCGGTTGGCTTGGAAGGTTTTTTTAACTATAACAGGAATCAATATTGAGATTTCAATGTTTTTATAGAATTCAAAACAAGGAGACACGAAATCTATTCTAATAGTAATCATAATCAATCATTAGACGATGGAATCAGACAAAAACCAGAAATTCCTCTCTTATATATGTATTATATGTTCAAAATTATTGTTAATGACGCAGATATAAAGATTTGGGTGTGTTAATTACATGAGAAAATATTTTAGCAACCATGACTTTCTGTCACCTTAACGACATCCAAGCACAGATAGAGCATATATAGCTTTAGATAACGCCGAATGATTAGAAGTTCAACATTAAATAAACAAAACATTTTAAAATGATTTGGAGATTTATATATTAATCCTCACATGTCTAACAATATATATATATATATATATATATATATATATATATATATATATATATATATGTATATGTATGTATGTTTGCCTTCGACACTTCAACAACTTTATTGTGCATGGTAATTATGATATTACAACTTATTTAATTATTTGAAGGAGAAGAACATGATGTTATACTCAGACAAAGTTGAATTAAGCAATAATTCCGCATGATCTCAAATATAGGACTAATCTTCTTTTCAATTTGGGTAGAAGAGAGTGAATCATGTGCCAGATGAGCTTAATATGAAACGGTTTACACATTGAAGTTGCAATGCTTGAAGTTTGACCAAGTCAACACAGGTAAAAAGCAAAATAGAAAATCCAAGAAAATATCACCATAGAGTCCACTAGAAGAGAGTTTGAGAAAATATTTGAAAGGAGTGTGTTCCCCATTTCATGAACAAGTTTAGTGGTGCCTGGTGATAACTTGATTAGTGGTTGTGTTTCACACCTTGCTTGGAAAAAGGAAAGAAAAAGTGCAAGGAAAAGTCTTCAGTGTCAGTGCATATTCTTTCGTTGTCAATTAATTGAAGCAGATTAGCAACGTCCAAAATTTGCATGCTGGATTGTTGCAAACAAGAACTAGAGCACAAAAAACGAATGAAAAAAAAAAAGATAAATGATTTAATTTGACCTATTTTGTCTCTTAGTTTTTCTTTCGGTGATGCCTTTATTTGTTCAAATGATTCCCACCGACATATAAAGTTCTATATGAAAGAATCTATTCAATTCTTGATTTAAATACAAGAGATATAATCTCTTTAAAATGTAATTCTGGGAATTTATGTATAAAAAGTTACTATTGAAAGAAATTTTCAGTAGCTGACAATAGTATTAACCTGAGAGATTTATGTTGGATAAAAAAGTACTTTAAGAGAGAGGAAGAAAGATGACATAAATAACTTTTCAAATTTTAACTTCTCCTTTAATACATTGAAAAAATTATCATCACTTTCCAATAGAAGGTTCCTTTTTCAAACAATTTCTGAAAACAGTTTTGAATCTATGAACTTCATTAAAATTTAATCACAAAACGTTCTTGTCAGCCACAAATATATAAATATATCCCTAACAATCCTTCTAGATGAGTGACTCTTGACCAAGTCGCTTTCTAATGGATGATGACAATAAAGAAAAAAGAAAAAAAAAGGTAGAAAATGGCAAAGGCGAAATCAAACTTTCCCTGTTACAATTATGTGAAGTTTTTCTACATTTTCAACCTTTTAGCTGACTGCTCAATGAATTAGTATTTGGACAACAATTTTCTTCTATTAGTATTTTACATGTGTGAATTACTTCCTCTGAATTTAAACATGACCACAGAAATGTTCATGTTTGACAAAGTAAAATACAGATAAATTTTAATCAATTTAACTTTATTTAGTATTGCATCATATCAAATAAATGATACCGATAAGTTTAAGGGTTTATTCGGTTACTCAAGAAAAAAAGTGTGATAAAAGAAAAAGAGACGAAATATAATATATATATATATATATATATATATATATATATATATATATATATAATACTTAAATAAAGCCACGCAATTCTATTCAAGCAAAATATAGTGGTTATTACTATTAGGGTAGTTAAATGTGAGTTAATTAGAGAATTATGAATTTATTCGAAAATCTTCTTAGGTTATCTTCTCCAACAAACACTAATGTGCATTGGGTGTTTTAAGGAGACATTATCTCTTACGTATAATTTAGTAACATCTTAACCCATGTAAATTATGTTTATTCGATCTGATTAGATTATTTATTGTAAGGAAGAACAATGATATGGTAAAAAAAATGTGTAATATTTTTAAGGAGATGTCACTTCTTAGATATGAATGAGTAACCTCTTCTTAGCTTAAATTTGATGGAGATTTTTAAAATTTTTATACATGTGTATTTTTATTATGAGTAAAAATATAACAAATATTAAATATTAATATTATTTTAATCATAATTATTTAAATTAAAATAATAATATAATATTTTTTTCTTATTCTAAAAAATAATAAAAAATCTCTTAATACATTATTTAAATAAATAATAATAAAGTAATATTAAAAAAAAAACTTAAGTTTGTCAAATTATTTAACATCCTAATATATCATCCTTAATTGATTATAGGTCAAATTTAGACATTTAATCTTCTAGGAATGTCAATTAAGTTAGATATCAATCATTAGAATATTTCAAGTTGAAACCAGTATTATATTTAAAAACAAATTCATACCTTCCCTAACTAACTCATTATGGTTAAATATTGATATGGTCAAACAATTATAGTTATGATTTAAATATTATCACTATATATATATATATATATATATATATATATATATATAATATGTAAGTTAAATATATTTTTAACTTTTTTCTTATTTTAATTTAATCACGTTATTATTTTCGCTATTGATCTATTGCATCAATTCTATTAAATTATCTAATAAAAAAATGTTATGTGACATTAATATGATAATGTTATTGTTGATGTGAAATAGATACAATATTGACATATGTGACAATATTATTACTCATACAATCAATGCTACGTTGTATGTACACGATAGATCATGTATGCAAACATCATAATATTTTTTGTTAAATAACTTAACTAAATTTACTTGAGGACCAAATTTATTTATTTTGAAAAAAAATAAACTACCAAATGGGACTAAAATTAAAAAAAATTAAGAAATAGTGTGAAAAAAAAAACTATTTAACGTAATATATATTTCTTTGTATTTTTAATGTATAAATTATTTTCTGAAATCAGTTAATAAGAAGTCATATTAACTCCAAAAAAATCTAGAACTCGTTAAGATTTTATTTAGCCATCAATAAGAATTAATCTTATGACTGTAAAAATTTGCAATTAACTCTTATTTACAAAAGAGTCGTTGTCTATTATTCCATGGTGGTATTATATAGTGTGAATAAAAGATAAGCATATATATCACTAAATTTTTTAGTAAATGAAATATATCTCCAGTATGAATTTGCACGTGGTTATGGTGGCTATACTTATAATTTTGAGATAACATTGTCCAAATGAAAGTATAAGTAGTCTGAATGCAATTCACGTGGCTTATTTAATTAGTAAAATAATCCTCATGCATGATGTGTTACGAATACAAAAACAATTACACATTTTTTAAAACCAGGAAATATAACCTAATTAATTAAGGTATATACTTAGAGAGAATTAAGCTTAAAGAAGATTATGAGAATGAAGTTTAGAGAAAAGATTGTAAGACGTTGAGTATGCGGTGAGAATGTATGATTATACTAACAATACAAATGTTGAACCATAAACGAATGGGAAGATGAAATTTGGAAATAATTAAAAAGATTTGAATATGCACATGGAGGGGGAAGTGGGAACAGGAATAAGGGATAGGAATGCCGACATGGAATAAATAAGTATTGGGCATTATTTTAACCCAAAAATTCACAAGTGTTTGAGATGTAGGACAGTAAGAGATGCATTTAATAGTATGCATACTAAATCTGTAAATTAAAATTGGAACAGTCCAGAAAAGTCAGAGTTACACTCGTGCAAAATTCCTATACGATTAATTGAGATTTTTCCATCAACGTACACACCTTTTTCATTTCGATACATAATTGTCTAAAATTTTAAAACCACGGGGTCCGTGATTGCAACCACATACAATGACCTGAAAGCCAAGGCTCCAACTAGGAAAAAAAAGAAGAAAAGTTTGGAAACATTATTTGCACTTTGAATTTTGAAAAAACACACACAATAATTGAAACTCGTCCCCGTCACGTTTGATGATAGTTACATGGTGGTAGGGAGTGAGTTCAAAAAGGAATTGTCCATTTCACGGTGAGATTCATTTGCTTGGACATTGAAATGTAAAGGCAAGTGTTGATGAGAAGTTACAGAGAGGTGCAGTGATATTTCACATCACGGGCACGGCAACCCTTTGCCATTGCGATGCCTAGGAAGCACTGTGGTGATGATGATGATGATGATCGAGTTAAACTGAAAAAAATGGATACGTCGCAACTTGTTTGTTGCACATGCACATGAGCAGCTTATAGGGTAGCTAATTAAAGGCAACAATGGTGCTATGTTCGATCACGCTTCGTACAATAAACACGGCTTCTGATATGTCACTGTGGGTCACACACTCTTCCTTGATGATAGAAGAGAGACTTCACCAATGGGGCACAATTAGAATGGACCCCGACTCCCACGTACGGTCACATCCACAGTTTATATCATGCACCTTTCGTTTTGGTTCTTGTTATTATTTGCTTTTACCCCAGCACAAGCAAGAAGCAACACAAAGAAAACTTGAGACGGAAAAAGATTCACAGAATCAGAAGTTGATTATAGGGAATGGTGGTGCTGGGTGCGCCATGACTGCTGCACCCAATGCAGAGGATGGTTGATCAGTTAAGAGATGACATAAGCATCCAAATGAAAAAAAAGAAAAAGAAGCTTAAGCCTGTTTACCTCCAGGAGTAGGTAAAAAGGAGTGACTTTGGTATTGGTCACTTCTTCACACGTACCTTCTGCATTCAAATTTCGTACCTATCAACTTCCTGGTGGTTACGGCGAATCAAGCCAACCAACTCTTTTTCCTTTCTTTCAATTCTAATACAATACATAAATGCTCTATTATTATTACAATTAATTTTCAAAAATTAATGTATAATGGTACACTCCTCCTTTATGTGTAGTGTATCATGGGATCAAACATGTCCATTTTCAGTTGTTGGATTATGAATGCTTGGGTTAAGTAGTATAAGAGGAAGATTTTTAACACTTTACATATATATACACATGTTTAAGAACATTTTTCTCACTTGTCTGTTATAATTTACTAGACAACTATTTCATTAGTATTTTTCTTATATTTGGATGTAATAAAAATACAAATTTTCTCTCACCAATTTAACATTATAAATCATTATTATTTATTGGCCCCTGTGAATAACATACTTTGAGATACCTTAATTCTTACAAGTTATGAGTGGATCTCACTTTTTATTTTTTTTTGATAGATCAACATTTCCAAACTAAGATGTTCAGAAATCATATTTTATGAATGAACGGTACTTTCATAAATATGTTTGGTTGGTATTTAATAAATTTTTAGAAATAAATTATTGAATCTAAATATTAAAAAATATATAGAAGAATGTGGAGAAAGTATAGGTAGTTTTTAAAACAATAACTTTCGTTCAAAATGTGAACTGAGTAATTTTCTACAGAATATAAATATTCGAAAATGTATTTTCTTAAATGAAAATACCTTATCCCTAATTTTAAAACTTAATTTTATCTTATAAAATACACAATATATTTTCATAGGTCAAATGAACCTCTGAACAACCATATTAGTGATTGTACTCTTAATAAAAACGTTTATGACATGAAAATCATTACCTTTCTATTTTTAAGAAAAAAATTGACCATTTATAATAGAACTATCAACAATTATAAAGACCACTATTGAGTTTGTCTTTGAAAGAATTTTACAACAATTGACAATAAAAATAATTACGATGTGAAAATGATTGCCATTTTATGATTTAGAAATAAATTTCCAGTTAATTAGGAAGAAAATAAAATCATTTTAAATAAGATACTATAGTGTGATAAATTTAATAATATAACAAATAAAAATAAAATAATGATTTATAAAAATGCGAGAAGATAAAATTTAAAGATGTTCAATCTTATACAAGATAATAATGTTTGAGAGAAGACAAAACGATTTGGAAGCTGAATTGCGAAACAAATCATGCAGAGGTTACAAGAAATGCGATTGATTGGAGTGTGAAAAACGAAATAAAGAGTGACACTTGAGGCACCGAGGGAAACATTTTGTGAGTAAAAAATGAGATGCTTTTATCACCAATGAAACAAAAAAGGATGGAGATAGTTTTGTGAAGGAGGTTATACGAGTTAGGGGAAAATAACTGTTAAAAAAAAAAAATTAAAGTATGACACGGTTTTCAACTAGAATCTGGTTGTCACCTCACCACTAATATGATGTATATTTGGTTTTGTAAAAAAGCCAAATGACACAAAGGAGCATAAATAACCTGTTGTCCTAAAAAAGAGATATGAGGCAAGATTCCTAAATTCCACTAAGAAAATGACAATCTCTTTTGAAGAAAAAAAACATAGGCTTTGTAACAGACAAGAGAGCTTTATCTATCCACAGTAGAAGTAAAAGTGGGTTCCAGATCATATAGGTAAAATTAGTGAACAGCAACATAAACAAACACCCTTGGTCCCCTACTCCTAGAATCTCTTCTGCATTGGGCACTTGTAGCCTACAAAGAAAAATCAAATAATGCTCTTTTTCACCACCAAGATTTCCCAATGACAAAAAGTTTTTCACTCTATAAAAGTTCCACTCCCATTTTGATCCTCTCTGAAACCTCTCCCGCATGCTGACAAAGTTTCCTCTCAGTTTCAGACTCTCACACATTCATGCACAATTTTACAGTTACCTACTCACCTTACCTTACCTTACCTTACCTTACCTTACCTTACCTTACCCTACCTCGCTCTCTCCTTTCCTATCGTCCACCATCCCCCATTTTCTCAATTTCCCTTTCTCTCTCTTTTCCCTACCAAAATGAACAAAGTATCAGTCTAAGATTTCCTGCATTCAATTCCCCTCTCTCCCTTTCACCACTGACGTGTGCTTTGGGAACCCACCTCACTATAATAATACTTTCCCTAACCAACATTTAATATATTGTTATGTTATATATATAAAAAAAAAAAAAAGTCATTTCCCAATATTTTAATAATTAAAAAAAAAAAAAACTTAAGGTGGGGCTCTCAAGGTAAAGGAAGAACCAGGTGACACACACTGCCACACACATGAGACCCCCCTCATCAGCTACCCCTTTTTCCAATCTAACCCCTTATAAATACTCCCCCTCCCCCTCGTCCCTTCCTCAGTGATTCAGTCTCTCAGTAAATTAATTCACTACCGCAGGCCCAAGTTATCCCTTTTTCCTTCTTCCTCTCCTCTGTTTCCACCAAAGCAAAATCCATTTGATTTGATCTCCATGGCTTCCTCTGTATCCACCGCACCAACGTTGTACTTTGATGAGAAATGGAAGCTGTCAAAGAAGGAAGGATCCACCAGAAGCAGGTCCTCAAGTACCCCTTTAATCAAGAATTCCTCGCAGAGAAGGTGTGCTTTCGCTAGCAAGTGTGCCAGGCTTGTGAAGGAGCAAAGGGCGCGTTTCTACATCATGAGGCGATGTGTGACAATGCTCATATGCTGGCGTGACTACAGCGATTCGTGAAGAGAAGAAAAGGGTTTGTGAGGGAAACACAGAGGGTTGTTGAGAGGGCTTAAAGTTCTCTCTTTTTGAGTCCCCTTCTTCCTTTCTCTCGCTTTAGATCAGATCCCTTTTCAGGGTTATGGAGGCCGCTTGAGATATACTGTACATAAAAAATTGTTTCTCTTGGCTAGAATTTTTCAATTTTGTTTTGCTTTTTCTAAGGTCGTTCTGATAACCCCCATCAATGGAGGGTAGTCAAGTTTGGTGTTGTCTTCGTTAATTTTCTTGGCTGTCTGAGAAATGATAGAAGAAGATATGTTTAGAGTGGAAAAATTAATTGAAATATATGATATAGCTTAGAGAGATACAATTTCTGCTTTGTGACGCTGCTTTTAAAAAAAAAAAATTGTTTTTTCTTATGCTCCTCTTAAATCCAATTTCTCATCTTTTTAGGCTTTTGGTTCAGTTTCCGTTTGTGGGTGTTGTTGCTCTTTGGGATTGAGGAAGAAGTGATAGGTGTTTTTTTGATTGAGATCTCAAATCTCTGAGATTCCCTTGAAACCATTGCAGGTGAGATGAGGTAAGCTAGGGTCTCTACTGTGTAGATCTAAACGTGCTTAGGCTGACGCAACATCGGGCTTTGTTTAATCTTTTTCCACAATATAATTGTATGACAATGAAACCATTGAAGTTAAGAAGAAGTAATTATTATTTCTATAATTTCAAATCACAATCATTAATTGACAGCATTAAATATGGTTTAATAAATTTTGATATTTACTGAAATTCCATAAATGTTGTGAGGAAAACCTTTGTTTGTGTTATAAATTTAAGCAATAACCGCGTAGGAATGAATGAATGAGATAAATAAAGTTTGATTTTGTGAGTTGGAAAAAGGGTAAAAAAAGTGTGGAGGTAGAAGGGGAGGGAGGTTCGACGGTTGGTGATAAGGTTGTTTTGGCAGGACTCTTAATGGAAAATTGTTAATTTGTGTGAAGTGAAAGACGAAAGGGTCCTGAAAGGGCTAGGTGGAGTTGAGTTGTTTGACCACTGGAAGGACCACTTTGACCCTATAATCTTGCTCAGGGGGTATTTTTGGTGTGTTATTCTTTTTCGTCGTCCTGATCCTTACCACAACGTGCGTTGCTTTATTATTTAGAGGGTACATTGGACCAAGAATTGATTGAGGGTGAGGTAAGTGGGGGAGTGAATTTGAATTGCTTGGCCTTGGGAATCAACCATTACTTCATTGGCTAATTTGGGTCATTTCTTTGATCTAAATAATGCCCTTTTCTTTGGCGTCTAACTCTGCAAAAACGCCTACATCGGGTAAAGCTTTGGGTTTCTTCTAGTAAAACTGTAAAACGATCAACTTTTTTTTCTTTTTTTTTTTTAATTGTTTTATGATGATGGCTTTGGGAATGGCAAGCTGGCAGGCAGAGGCATGCATGGATGATGAGTTGTTGAGAATGGCATCACAAAGAGAGCCAAACATGGACGGACTCTCACGCAAACACCTTCTTCTATAGTACACGCATCATTTTTTATTTCAAAACTATGTCTTTTAAATTCATGTATTTACTATTTTTATTTTTTTAATATCTTATTTTTGTTTCTTTTGTACTAAATTTGTATTTGACGATATTTTTACTATTGAAATTAAATTATATATTATCTCATTTTTTAAGACTATTTCATCAACTATGTCGTATAAAAGATACACCGTTTATTTGTATAACAGACATTTTATCTTTAAATACTTTAAAGAAAATTTTACAGTAATTACAAGAAAAAGGTCAAATGAATATCGAGGATCACAAAATAAAAATTGCAACGATTAGAAAAAAATATACTTGTAGGATCATCATACTTGAAAACGTGTGCTTCTTCTTTACATTAACTACTTGAAAAAGTCATATAAAAATAACTGTTAATTATTTACAGTTTACCTTTTTTTTATGTATGATCATTAAACTCTTGACTTTTAAATATTGTTAAAACAATTATTTATAACATTATTAGAAAAAAAAGTGTAATAACACTAATTATTAGACATTGTATAAATTATTAAACTCTTACTTTTAAATTAAATATTTTAATTAATATCATTAAGTATGTTGAAATTTATTTATATATATATATATATATATATATATATATATATATATTTTAAAATACTAATAAGGTTATCTCAAATAAAAGTAATAAATTACTTCAAATATTGAAATATATATATATATATATATATATATGATATTTATTGTACTGCATTATTGTTATTATTATTATTATTATTATTATTATTATTATTATTAAACAAGTAGACTCAATTTAAAACTCTAAACAATTTCTGAAAACAAAATATGTCATTAAAAAATTTACCTGTACCAAACATAAACTTTTTTAATGCAGAGAATATTTTTAAAAATTTATATCTATTTTCCTTCAAAATTTAAAAAAAAAGTCAATCTTATAATTTAATAAATACTGCTGCCTTAGACTTTATCCTGTTCTACCCAACGTTGGTGCCAATTAAGCAGAACAATCGTTTTTCTATTCCATGCTTGGTACACATGTCTTCAGATGACGTGACCTCACATCATATTATGTGTGAAAAATAGAATGTTGGTGTGAAAATGAATGAAATCAAATCATGTTAACTATTATCAGACAATATTGCCAAATAAGAAGAGATAGGAGTATTCGATTAATATAAGGTTTCGTAAGATCTCAGGAATAAAAAACGGAATATAGTTTATAACAAAATAAAATATTCATAAGACACACTTAGAATCTTATACTTTCATTCAAGAGCACTGTTCACATTTAAAAAAAAAAAATCTACAAACTGCTTTATAAATTGACTATTTTTTAATTTAAATCTTTTTCACATAGAAAAATGATTTATTAATTACTTTACTAGGATTTGACTTGGTTCTAATTATAATTTTTGACAGATTTTTAAATTTGTGATAAAAAAAACGATAGAAACGTTAAAAACTAACGACATGTCACGAGCCTTGAGAAGTATATTGCAGATATACAGACAATGAACTGAACGCTGTTTTTGTTTCTTTGGTTATTTAAAGCTAAACAAATTTAGATGAACATACCAAAAATGGGGTCGTGTTTCATATTTTTTTACTGTCTCCGTTATTGCAAAATGTAAATGCTTCCCTGGACCGAAAAATTTCACCCCAACCATTTCTATTTTATTAACAATAAATTAAATAAAGCATCTATCAAATTCAAACAAGGTTTAATGTGTTGCTAAGTTCTTCTCGTGGTAGTTTAATAGAATGAAAAAAAAAAATGGAGGATTCGTTTGTTGCATAATAGAAAGCAACTTGTATTTGTATATATGATAATAACTTTATTTTAAGAGTAGTGAATCCATATTAACAATTTAAAAGGGTAATTTAATATAATAAATAAGTTAATTAGCTGTTTCGTATTTATATTTCTCTAATTGGTACTATCAAAGCAATTATTGGCATTTTCTTCTTTTTTTCATCTTCTCGATTTTCGGGTTTTCGGCTGGTTCTAATGGCCATAGAGTCTAGGTTATTGTTTTTTCGGGTCAAAAGGAAGATTTTGCTTTTCCTTCAAAACCTTCTTTTGGTGCACTTTGTTCGTATGTAATCAAGGAAGAATCATTCTCAAAATTTAAGATAAGTTGAATCGTTAATGATTGGAATTTGTTTGTACTTCCCGAAAGGACATCTATTTTACAATAATTTGTTTTTTTTACAAATTTGTAATTATAGAAATTTATTTTATAGGAAATTAAATTAACTTGCATATAATTAAAAAATTATATAGTATTTTTTATAAATTAATTTATCCACAAACTAATTTTACTAATGAAAAAACTTATATTAATTTTTTTCTTCTAATTCTTCTCTTTTAGACGTATTTTTTACATAGAATTTTATCCAAATAATGACTTTTGTAATGCATATTAATAAAAGGTAAATGGAAGGAGATTATTTTATATTGTTAGTGTAAGACGATTTTTTATAAACAAAAAAAAATTGACTTTGAAAAATGGTTTATTTTGTTGATAACACAAAGCTTGAATATACTAATTAACAAATCTTGGAAAAGTGAAAACATAATGATCCACATCGAAGCCCGCTTCTAGTTGAAGGATTTATAAAATCTCCACCGAAATTTGAATTTGCTTAAAGACATTAAATATTATTTGACTGCTTTGTATTGCCATAAGTAACTATTAGTAAACAGTGAGTGTGAGTTGGAAAGAATTGAAAAGATGAGCGTGGTATCTATTTATTCTCCCCTTCCCCACATTTTTTGACTACGCATTCACCAAACAATGATTTCTTCTCTACAATAAATCATACACCAAAGAGAGGATAAGAAAAGTGAAAGAACATATGATTAGATAAATAAGGTGATGGAGAAGAAAACGGAAAAAAATATATATATATGAATAATTGAAAAAGTGATTATAGGGTTTGAATGAACGTGATGGAGAACAGAGATATGGTGTACGTGAGTGTTGCACACAAAATTGATGAGTTATGTTATTAATTTTGGTCAAAAAGCAATCCAAATGCATTGATTAAGCATCGTCCCCACTTCCATCCATCTTTGTCTAGTTTGTTGAAAGATCTCCAACAGTTTGCGCATCTGAATTATTATGGATTTACACCACTCCTAATTATTACTTCGTAGCTCCTATACTCCTATTTCATCATTATTTTATGGCCCTACTCTTCTCTTTTTCTCATTTTCCCACCCTTCTCCTAACGTCTCTTTCCATCCAAAATTAACACTATTTTTATTCACTTTCTTCATCATTTTCATTTTTTAATTTTCCTTAAAAGATAACTTCAACACAAAGTTCCAATCTTTTCCCTCAACAATTCCATTCTAGACTCGGCTTAGCAGCAAGCAGCGGATCTTCTTCGGAGATACGAAGAGTAAGTTAAACAGAGTTTTATAATTCCGGTATAATTTATAATTTATAATTTTGATATTCTAAATTTAATAAATATTTAATATATATATATATATTTATTTATTTATAATTTTATCATTTTAATCTTTTTTTAATTTTATAATTCTTATATAATTTATGATTTTATCTCCATCAAATTTAATGATTATTTAATATATTTAAATATATATCTATAATTTTTTATTCCTTTAATATTTTTTTCTTTATATTTATTTATTATTTATTAATAATATATTATTTAGTCTTTCATATAAATTATTAAGATTTACTATTGTAACCCATATCTTTCTTCTAAAACAATTTTCAACGTATAAAATGTCCACAAATCAACCATTAAAGTTCCTTTTCCTACATGCATATATATACCCTCTTGAAAAGCTCAAGCCTTTTTAGTCTTTCCTATCGGTCAAAACTCGTCATTTGTTCATACACTTGCTTTGTTTTATTGAAAACGTGATAATAATTACACATGACCCATCAAATCTTTTATTTTATATGCTAATAGACATAGTTCAGTTTGATTTCTTCAAATAAGATTTTGAATTTGGAAATTTAGTAAAAGTTTGGTACTGATGATAACATAATTATGAAAACAATATCTTTTATGTATTTATTGATATCTTCACCGGAATTTTAGATAAACATGAAGAATTTTGTGAATATTATTGTATCAATTATAAAATAAAATTGGTGGAAGTACAACCCCACCCTAGAAAGTTAATATAGCTGCATACCCTTTATAGAAAATAGACCATGAGATGGGGGAATTACTTATCCGTTTAGAGTACTAGACTATTAGGCCCATTTTCCAGCAATAGTACAAGTTACCTCGGGCCTGAGTAAAACAATATTGGGCAACAGAAAAAGCCCGTGGGTAAAGAGTGGGGGCCTAATAAAAGACAAAAGGTAACAGGGTTAGAAGAGGATGTTATGTTGGGCTTGACCTACTCCTAAGGCACATAGGTCCACGTATGGTCAAGCGTCACATCACCGCACGCATGCCTTCAAATCACAATGCATGCATTAATACTGATTTGTTTTATACAAATCAAATTATGTGAATGAATACTGTTTTATAATAATACAGAAAATTAAAATATAAAACCCTGAATAAGTTTTCATTTATGAACATACTTTTGGTGCAGTGTTTAGGAAATTAAAATTATATTCTTAATCTTAATTGAGAGTACTTTGTTCCATTTAATAAAAAGGGATTCTTTGCTTAATTAAAAAGGTTGTCAGAGTCAAAGTCGACTCAGAGACACGCATGCACTAGCTGGCAGTAGAGAAATATGCTGAAGAACGAAGAATGGGGAGGGTGTGTTTGGCTATAAAGACCTTTCTTTCCTTTTTCTTCTTTTCTTAAATACTTAGTAGATAAAGTCAATATACCAAACCAAACACCACCACAACCCTAATTGTATAAATCATAAACTTGCAAGAATTAAATTAATGAATGTAATTAGTTTGTTGAATATAATTATTTGTGGCGGGATAACCCCATTGCAACTTTCTTTAATATATAATTAATAAAGCAAAGTCGTC